GGGGTCAGGTCATGTACAGCTGTATTAGAATGCATTTCCACTGGAAACAATGGAGATTTAGCAATGACCAGTAAGTCATTCACCCAGCAGTTTTTAGGATTGGGTTTTATGGCATTCAAATGGAAAGAAATGATGGGATGGAATGGTAGTCCCTGTGCAGCCCTGCCTGCTGTGGCTCCCAACCCTGGCTGCTGCTGCTTCATGAGGCAGGCAGAAAAAAAGAAGGTAATCTGTCACCAGAATCCTTCTTCAAGTGCTATGTCAAATGCCTTAAACTCACAGAGAAATTTATATTCACAAATATGTAAACATTAAAAAGACACGGCTATAGATTAATGTCACACTATATGACTTTACTTATCCCTGCAACTTGTTAAGAACCTGGAAGCAATGGTCACGTCCTTCTTGATGAACCCAAACTAACTGGCTGGTAAATACTTTACCAATTATTCCCTTTCAGGTGAAAGGTATAATCAGAACCAGAAGCACTGACTGGTTTGAACAAAATCATGTCTTTGTAAGCACCAGCAGAAGCAGCAGAACAATGAACAAACAGAACAGTCTGCATGTCTCAGGTCATTGTCACCCAACATCATTCCCCAGCAGTGAAACTGCAGAACATGCTGTTTCTATCGTGATCAAAAGGCCTGCACTCTGATAAATCAAACCACAGGAGCAATGACTCATCAGCCTCTGCATCAAAAGGATGGTGACATGGTAGCAGCATGTCACATACACCACACTAACCCAAACCCCAAACAGACCATGTTTAAGCACACAGTTAAATGAGCAAAAGAAGACAAGACATAGCAACGTGGCCTTTTAGCATGGAGGCTAAAGACAGAAATACTCTGAGGCATAGAAAAACCCCTCAGTAACAATTGCTGACACCCAAAAGGCCTGAAAGATCTCTCTAAAAGCTAGTTCATCATTATCATTCCAGAACCCTGGATAAGTAAAGAGGATTGGATAGCTATTGTCTCTGTTTCTTTGAGTCCAGAGAACTTGAACATGTCTTGGTACTTGTGAGTATGAGAGAATTAAACTTAGGAGAAAATCACAGTAGGTAAAAATGAGCTTGCTGAATGACCCAAACCCCCTGATCACTAAATTCCAGGAAATAAGTTTGTGACTCATGAGCACCACAGAAAAGTTAAAGGCTCTATAATGAAGTTGTATTTCTTTTTATCCTAACAACTTAAGCCTCAGCCTGTAATCCTAAGCTTTCCTCCCAAATGCATTATCTTTCAAAATTCACTTAAAGAGTACGTGTTAGCTCCATCGAACTTCTGCAAAGTAAAAATTCTCATTGTATGTTTATTTTCAGTGACCAAGACGCTTTTCTTCCCAAGAGCTGCTAGTTCTGAGCATTATTATGTGGTGATATGCCACATTAGACTACTTCTGACAAAAATAGCAGGAGCAATTGATTAGGAACAGAAAAAGAGGAATAGAAAAAATTATTTCAGAACATCAACGTAGAATTGTGTTTTCAATAAACAACGGGTGAATGTTTGTACTTGCTCTGTTTCTTTTTTCCTGAATCCATCATTAAACCAAAATTTGTCTGAGGAATGTTTCTCCTCAAACCACGTGTCCATCTCAAAAGACATCTCAAAGGGTGTCACTATTCACTCAAAGATATTGGATGCTTTGCTGTAACAACGGGATTAGACAACTCTCTCCAGTCACTGCTGTGGCAGCTGCATTCACTTGCCTCATACACCAGACTCAAAAGTCAGAAGCAAATGCTTAGTTTGTAAGCCAGAACATAATCTGCTGGATATTTACAGCCAACCACTGAAATCTGTCATTGATGTGAAACAGGACAGAAACAGATCATCTTGCCTGTTTTTCCTAAATGAACTTGAATTCAAAAAAGAAATAGGAACAAAAACCTTGAAAAGAAAGATTCTCTTCTATCACACCCACTACAAAAGCACTAAACCACTCAACTTTGCTTGGAAGAACCACTTAAAGACATCATGTTTGTGTGTCTGTCTTTGTGTTTTTCTCTACCATCCTCAGCATCAAAAATGAATTTTATCTTTTATCTTAAAAAGCCTTTTTTCTCTTTATGAGACACACATTAATACCAGCAGGATCTACAGGGAGGGTCATCATGCCACATCACATGGCACTAAGTATAACTATGTTTGTAAATGTCAGTCCTTAACACCAGGTGAAGGAGCTCAAACTTCACCACCACAAACATACATTACTTCTACACTGCCTTACAGTAATCCATTTAGCAGATGGTTTGCAGAACAAAACCAAGAACAAAGTCAAAATGAGGAAACTCTTTCCAGCCTCACTCTTTATTACCGAAGATTTTATTGACTGATAAAAGTAAGGGCAGGCATCAGATTTAGTATGAAGCTGCTTCCAGAAAGTATCATGAAAACCCACTGCATGATTTCAGAGAGAGTGACAGGCAAAAATTGGTTTTGGGAAGTCGCAAGTCTAAGTAATCCTTCTATGTTGGCTGTTCTCAAGCAGTGCTGTTTGTACCCTTAGAGAATCAGTTTTCTATTCTCCAACTCACCAACACAGTAAGAAGCAGAGCTTGAATTCAGAATGAATAAAATAAGAATACTCACGCTGACCCCATCGGCCTGTTCTTGGATTCAAATAATTTGGATAAAGTCCGTTAGGACGATCCATTTTTTGAAGTAACTTCCGAATGTGCATGACCTAAATAAAATCGATAATCATGATCACCACTAACAGCGTTCATCTGCTCTCTGTACACAGTGAAATCTCATACATTTTCTTTTTCTTTTTTTTTAGAGTAAATTTTCTCAATCTGAACCCATAAGCTTTGAGGGCTCCCTGTAGATTCGCATGTTTCTGTTTGTAAACGGCTGCTCATATAAACCCTGGAGGTGTTCAAGGCCAGGCTGGACAGAGCCTTGGGCGACATAATTTAGTGTGTGGTGTCCCTGCTCATGGCAGGGGGGTTGGAACTAGATGATCTTAAGGTCCTTTCCAACCCTAACTATTCTATGATTCTGTGTTTAAAACCTACAATTTTTAAAGGTATGTTGAAGCAAATAAGAAAATTTGTCATGAATTGTCATAAATTTCTACTTGAAAAAGACATTTATTTGGTAACAGAAATACTTGCATGCAAACTTAAACAGCGGAACTTCAGGTTAGATCTAAGGAAGAAGTTCTTCACAGTGAGGGCGGTGAGGCACTGGAATAGGTTGCCCAAGGAAGTTGTGAATACTCCAACCCTGGAGGTGTTCAAGGCCAGGCTGGAGAGAGTCCTGTGCGACATAGTTTAGTGTGTGGTGTCCCTGCTCATGGCAGGGGGGTTGGAACTAGATGATCTTAAGGTCCTTTCCAACCCTAACTATTCTATGATTCTATAAATTTACTTGCTACCAAGAATGTAAATAGAATTCAGTACAGAAAGTACTTCCCCTTTAACACAATTTATCATGAAACAGTGTAAAAGACACTTTTATGATAAAAAAATCTGAATTTGAGACCCACCTTGTTGTAGTATACAGGGTCCCCTGTCAAATAGCTGAGGTGGACAAATTCCATGTGCAGAGTACCAAACTCAGCGAGGATGCTGCTGCCGGCAGAAGCCCAGCCCCAGTTTCGACCTACACCACTGGATTCCAACAAATATGCATTAAAAAAGGAGAAAAAAACCAAAAGAATTAGAATTACAGCAATAGTAACAACCACCACAGCACATTAAACAAGTAACAGCAGAATATTAACCCATACTTAAGATCACAGGAGTTGTGGTTTGATTGATCAGTTGCTTCATTGGTTGTGTCTTTGTGGAAAAAAGACACCATAACCTCATCATCAAAAAGTCCTGTGATTAAAAGATACAATCTTTTGATGTCACAGAAATATAATGTTTTAACACTGTGCCCAATCTCAGTTGCTTATTTATTGTATATTTTTAAGAACAACAATCAAAAGCAATTATCAGATGAGATGAGTATACTTCTAACGGTGGCAGCATTTGCTTCCTTGTTCTGCCTAACATCTGCTATGTTCTTTTTACTCACATGGGATGTGCTTCAAGACAGTATTAGACATTTCAGTAGGATGGGAGTGGGCCCTATGCGTATCTACGTAAAACAGTATGTTTACTATAGGCAGAACATAGCAACTTCCTTGGGCTGACATAAAAAAAAAAATAAATAAAAAAATCAACGGAAAGCATCATATACCTCATATCTTTTTCACTTGAAGAGATACCATCTTGGTAAGTCGTAACTCCCAAACTACCTCTGGTTTAACCTAATTTGGGAGTTTTCAACACCTTTCAGGATTAGATCTTTTTAATTTTCCTGGAGATGACTTTTTCTCATAAAAGATTTCAGTTACCAGTAAGACTACAATCAATTAGGAATGTCTTCTTACTTGTTTTTTCAATTACGAATTAGAAAGAGGATATGTAAGGAAAAATGTTGGTTATGGAGCAGTATTTGTAGCTCTGACCCCCCCTTTTTATAATACAGTAACTACAGAGTGCAGAGAGACATAATCATAGCTTATCTCAGGGGTTTTTTTGGTATGGGTCTGATAAAAAGAGAAAATTAAGTGTTTCATTTTGAATGCAAAAGCTAAAAAACCGAAAAGACAATAAACCTCCAACTATTTCTTTAAGGTCTTGTCTTCTATTAAATGTGAACCTTATGATAAATGTTCTCATATATGCCTGTTACTGTCACTGCCCTCTGGCATGCCAGCCACTGCTTTCTTGTCTGATGCTGACTGGTTCTATACATTATCAAGAGACTGATGCAGTAAATGCATAAACAATACCATCACACAGGAAATTTCTGCCACTCCAATCTTTTAATTTCCACCTACAGCAAATCCTGCTCCCTGATCCAGCCTTTCTGACTGTCCTCTGATACCCAGCCTATGTGCTCAGCCTCCATCTGTTACCAGTAAGTACCCATGCATCTACTGCTTGCAGCTTCTTAAACCTCACCATCTATGTCGCTCAAGGGAGTGAAGCAGACACCTTTGCTGCCTGAAGAGCATGGCCACCTGGGCCCTTCAAACATACCGGAATCACAGTGCAGTGATTGCTAACCAAAGCAAAAAAAAAAGCCTAACTTATGCACAGAGGAATTTCAAGCCCTGTGAAACTGCAGAAAGAACACAAGATTGAGTAAAGCATAATTCTGTGCAGAAAGTGTGTAGGGTCAATATTAATAGTACAGAGGTCCAATAAGTGGCCTCAGAAGGGGAAGTGCAGCACGAGCAAAGCAGAGAAAACCCGGGCAGAGTGGTGAGACCCAGCACCAACAGAAGGGCAAACCACAGCTCTATGGTCTTCACCTGAGGAATGACAGCAAAGTGAGGATTGTTTCCTGATCCCCAAAAGGCATGTAAGGCTAATGCTCTCAAAGTCATCTTAAACCTTGGTACAGTCTAACAAAGCAGAACAAATGTCTCTCCTAAAAGGAAAACAATTTATAACAATTCAAAGCTCTCTGCTATTTACCATCATGAATTGCTTAAGAGCATACACACAATTTACACATGCATCTCAACTCAGCTACTGCTTAAATACATAATAAAGATATTAAAAATGCCTTGCACCAAAACCACTCTCTCATAATCTGAGGGAAATCCCAGTACTGAACAAGTAATACAAGGTAAATTAACCAAGGCAATTGTCTTCCACAAGGCAATGTAAGACCATCTACGTTCAGTGTCAGTCCCAAACAGTCATCTAAAGAAACCTCTCCATCTCCACATACCATCGTGGATTTCAGCACGCTAGCCTTTATACCTCGGCTGAACTGTAAGATGAACAAGTATCTGCAGCGTCCCATCATTTTCTCAAACACTGTGAGTCTTCTAAAGGTAACGTACAGCTCACACAGCACATAAAACCCAGCAAGTTCAGCCATGGCCTGTAAACTATTTTGGTTTTTTGTATATGTTCTTTAATGACTAAAGAACCAATGATTGAGCTCCAGGGCAACACATGGAATAATATGCTGGGTATGTTCCAATGCCATGTTGAACTCTTATTGCAGAATCAGGAGAAAAACAAACCCATCATGGTCACAGTTTGTTGCAGTTAAGAAGACCGGATGCTCTGAATTCTCTTCAAACTATTATAAAATGCCAGGAATG